TTGTGGACAATTGTGGACAAAAAAACAAATCTAAATTACTTAAAATTTTATTAAGATAACCTATTTTTTTTCTTTTCGGAAAAATATTCGAACCTATAAAAAATTTATAATCATGTCTTTTTTAAACTAATTTATTAAAATTTAAAGTCTAAATATTCTTTGGACAGTTGTGGACATTGTGGACATGTGAACGTGGACATGGGCAAAAAAGTATTGGGCATAGTAGACGTGACAACACTGCTCACAAATATTTAAAATTATTCTGTATTTTGGGATTTATTTTATTTCCACACTCCTTTTTTGGTGTCATGCCCTGTTAATGTGCTTTTAAAATTTTTTTAAACTTTGATCGAAGATGTATTAGCACCTATATAATGAAATTCGACGAGCTTTTTATTTTAATAAAAAAAAAAGATAGCAGAATTCAACAAAAAAAAAAATCATTTAATTTGATTAGGTGAGTGCCAATATATCTTGATCAAAAGTTTATTGAATTTGGTGAGACATCGATCAAAGCTTAAAAGCATTTTTTAACGCAGTTTTTATTGATAGACGCTTAAAATTTTGTAGGAACTTTGATCGAAGTTATCTCAGCGCTCACCTAACTATCCTAACTATGAGCGTTCTCAAGCACCTCAATTAATAGGTCAAAGTATGTCAAAGATATGTTGGGAATTAAATTTTAATTAGCGGAAAGTATTTTTAATCGATCAACCGATCTTGTCATTAAGATAAGGTAGGTAGTTTATTACAAAAAAACTTTTTGCCCGAACCATCTTTTTTAAAACTTACAAATAAAAAGTGAATAAAGTATTGTTCAAGCGTTTTCATACTTTTTATTATTTACAGTATTATGGATTTCATTATCGACACATTTTTTGCAAAATTTTCGATAAACTACTTAGAATCCTCCCAAGCAGTGATTGAAATCTTTATTTTGATCTGTCGTTTAGGAAAAAAAAAAGATTTAAAGCGTAATTAATTAAAAATCATGTTTCTTTGATTTAAAAATGGATTTAAATGATTTAATACATTCTGACGTAATAATCATAATATACAATGGATGGTTTTTATTTATTTAACTATTTCGTCAAAATACAACTTTATTGTTATCTCTATAAACAACCATGCTCCATTGGGGTGCTCGATATACTATGTAAATCAAAACTATACATGGTATCATATAAAAACTTAATATCTAAAATTTTATATAGCATATAATTTTACTTATAATTTTTTGCGAAATTTGAATAGATGCACAGCCTTAACGGTTTAATATTTTAGGATAAAATTTTGTAGAGACCAATACTATAGCTCTACAAGCAAAGTTACGAAGCTATTTTTCTTATTTATATATAAAAATAAAGAAATAGTTTAGTCAACTTTTTAAAATTCTTCAAGTTTAAAGAGAATAGCTTCGTAACTTTGGTTGTGGAGTTATCATATTGGTCTCTGTGAAATTTTATCCCAAAATAATAAACCGTTAGAGCTGTGTATCTATTTAAATTTTCACGAAAAACTATGTAAAATTATTTGATATATAAAATTTTAGATATTAAGTTTTTGTATAATACCACATATAGTTTTGATTTATATAGTATATCGCACACCCCAATGGGGCATGCAAAGAAATTTTTATTGATAATGCTAAATTATATATGGGCACTTTTCAATAGAAAGGGGTAGATCTACTTTTTGGCTAAAAAATTTTTTTTGGCCTATTGAATAAAGTATAGCCAGATATATGATTCTAATTAAATGTTAAATTATGCTAGCTTAATAATTTTTTAAGTTTTTATATTTAATCTTTATTATCTAGTACTGTATATAGTACTGGTGTGATATGATTTTTACATAGTGAAAAATTAAAAGTCACGTGTATTGCACAATTGTTTACATCACATAGTATATATAAATAATATTTTAAAAAATTGATCTACGTTATTTGTCAACAGTAGTTGTTTTGATCTACAAAAAACATGATTTTCTCAAAATTTTTGATTAAATCTAAATGGAGATCTACCCCCTTTCTATTGAAAAGCGCTCATATGCATTATGAGATATAGAGCCATGTAAGGTTAAAAGAACTTGATACTCCCATAGTACATGCATACATTGTGTCTAAAATAAATTTAGAACATATGTAGCATAAGTTAATTGACCAACTTCGGCTAGAGACTAATTCTAATAAATAGCAGTTTCTACTTGTGCCTAGGGTGTTTGGCATATTAAAAAAAATTTGGCATTCCATAGGCATGTCTTTTGTTAAAATTTGTGCTATGGCATGCCATAAAATATTATATATTATTTATAATATCCTATATATGGTTTGAATATTGTAAGTATAATTTTTATACTGTACCCAGTGGCATGCCAAATTTGTTTTTGACATGTCTTTGCCACTATGCCAGACACCCTACTTGTGCCCCATCTCACAAATAAGTTATGTATAATGATAAGCCTTGTAAGGTGATACAAATAAATTTTATATGCAGAATTATTATCCTACATAACACATCACCATATGGGGGGGAGTCAATAGAAATGTGACAAATCTATCTAATAAATTTGTCTCATTTCTATTGACTCCCCCCTATATTTATATAGACAATTTAGAATAATGCCAAGTAAATTTTACAGATTTATTTTTCATATATATTAATAAAGATTTGAAATTTAATATCCATGTCTCTGAACTCTGAAACCACCCCTTGCCACCATCTTAATAGTCCCCTTATAACCTATATCATGAGATAATCAGTGAATGGCTATTTGATAAACAGTTCAAAAAATCTGGGCATACATATCCACTAATTATGTAGTGTTCATCGATCAAAAAATCTGGACATGTATGTTCATTAATCATGTAGTAATTACTAGTAGTATTGATCAAAAAATATTATAACATATGGAAAAAATAAATAGCTGAAGCTAAACTTTATTAACATATTTTCAGAACACTATTTTTTATACTATCATAGATAGGGATGTTAAAAGTTCGGTTTGGTTCGATTTGACTCCATGAGTCAAGTCTTAATCTAGACTTGGTTCCAAGTTTGACTTGAACCATATCATGTGAAATATACTAATTTTAACGCCCTTGTGTGCTTTGTGATATGTATGGTTACTATTTGAGGTAGTTCCCATGCTTATCGGTTAAGATATAATCTCCATTTTTAGTTACATTTTAACTGATGAGTACTAGAACTACCTTGAATAGTAACTATGCACAAGGACGTTAAAATTAGCATATTTCACATGATATGGTGAGTTTGGTTCAAGTCAGACTCAGAACTGAGTCTAGATTAAGACTCGACTTATGGAGTCGAGTCGAACCAAACCGAACTTTTAACATCTCTAATCATAGACATACCCATCCAGATGCAGTAGTCTATGGCATAGTACACCAAACTATCCCCAAAGCACTTTAGCAATTATGTATTTAATATCATCCTTAGACAAAGCCATTATAGTTGATAATAAAAAGGTTTTAACTCTTCCTATCATAACTCTATCTATATTTGTATCCACATTGATACTACTGAAGAGACTATAAACCTTTTGAGCTCTTTCAATTCTTTTTTAAAGAGCTTCTTCTGAAATATCTTTGGGAAGTTGTTTCTACACACCATCAACTAGAGACTAAGATGCCAAATCTTCATGATTTAATGATCTATAATGATCATACTGTTTTTTTATTGCTTCTTCAAAATCAAAGTAATAGTGAAGAACATCTTGCATTGTCTTTTTTAGTTGGTCTTTGCCAGCAACAATTTTTTTATATAGGTTGAGAAAGATATTTGAATCATTGTTCGATTTAGAGGTGGAGTCAGTTTGCAAAATTTCTTCATTTTCAGGATCAGTAGTAGTCAACTCTTTAATCAGTTTTTGCAATGTAGGGGACTGATTTTGATCAATTGGCTTTTTAGTCTTTTTTGCTTTTTTACCAGAAGTAGATGTAGATGATTCGTTACTATCTTCTCTAGAATGTTTTTTCTGGGCAGTACTTGACTCTTAGGTGCCAGTTACTATAACATTGTCATTAATTTCCATATTAGTTGATAGATATATAAGACACAGTTTTCGTGGATTATCAATACAATTGTAATAGACGATATGTTTACAGATTAAGTATATGAGTGGTTTCAAGGGACCTTGAGGTTGAAGAAAGAACTGAAGAAAGCCTATAGGTAGAAGATATAAAGAAAGATCTTCAGAACATTTGGTGCATTTCAAATTACTTTTGCCTTGTTGGGTTGCTAAACTCTCGATCTCTTCTATCCATATAGGTGGTAAAGATAGGGCAAATTACTTTTGCCTTGTTGGGTTGCTAAACTCTCGATCTCTTCCATCCATATAGGTGGTAAAGATAGGGCAAATGTTTCGCCCATCAAAAGTGAAATTTCAGTTAATTGGGGGGCCCCCTTGAGATCAGTTAACAGCAAATTGGAAATAGTACCAAGGGGATTAGCTTGATCTAATATTTCCACATTCTTTCCACAACCCGGGAATGAACATGTGTTTGGAACAGTAAGTAAAAGCTTTTTTTCGATACAGAGTCTATGAAAAAAGTGTCTGCATGTTAGATATATAAATGCCTTGAGAGGAGATATTAAAATGTCATTGCTATATTCGGAGCATGGCCCTAGTTCTGTAATTTTTTTACTCTTAATAATACTATTCTTAAAGGTTTTTAGAATATTATATACGAAATTTTTGATATTATTAATAGAAGCAGTTGATGTAGAAGTAGAGGTAGACATATTCAAGAGTAAAATTTATGTGATTAGATTTGTATGTATTAATATAAAGTATAACCAGATAAGTATTTTACAATTGTCTTTATACTTAGCTTGTTTTTATACAATAAACACCCCCATGATTAAAAAAAATTAGGTTGCAGATTTTATGAAATCTCATTTTGGATTTGGTGATCTGTTTATTCATGAATTAATTAGCATGAGCCAGGAGAGTCAGGTGCCATTGTTTTGCAATAAGACTTGATCCAAAGGATCATCACTAGATCTTCGATAGCAATTGTGAATAATTTACAAATTAGTAATTTCTTAACCAAATGAATAAAGCAATTATAATTCAATTTGGACAAAAAACTAGGATCACTCGATCTATTGTTAATTCTCAAGTTTATTGGAATTTTGATAATACTGATCTTTGGCTTGCTTCATAAATGATCCACCAGGTCGAAAGAGCCATTTATTTACTGCATGTTGAATTATTATAGCTGAATTTATTCATTTTTTCCATAAACAATATGCTTACTGGATAATAATAGCTAATCGATTTTTTATATACAAAGTTTTAAAATATGCTACTTGGATTAAAAATTCTCTAAATTCAAAATTATTAGCTATGGATTTATTTTTGGTTAGATTGTTTTTTATGCAGAATACAAAGTTTTTCTAATGGTTTTTTCTATTAATATTATATTCTAGTATTAATAAATGTCTATGTATATATATGGGTGGATGATACTTCGCAAATCGTAACCAAGCTTCTGGTGTTTTTAGATTGTTGATATAGTTTAATTAATGATCCACCACTCAACAGGTGCATGATCTTAGTAAAATGTGACTCAGATTACTATATAAATTTACTATAGTGCGAATGTGGCGATCGCACAAGGTAAACTTTTTTTTGTACTAAGGTAATCATCTTTCTTGCTTAAGAGACTTTTGTAAAGCTTGTCAAGACGCATCTAATGGTGGTTAGAGCATCAAAATCG